GAAAATTAATAAAGAAATATATGTTTGCATAAACCTTATTTTATAATTCAAATTTTCTGATAAAATACTGATTGCTAATGCAATACTGATCCGTCACGCTAAAAATGCGCTGAAGTCTCATCGATGCACATACGAGGACTTTTGTAATTTTTTTCACTAATTTTGCACCGCCCAATAGAGAAACACGTTCCTTGGATCTAAAATTGTCAAGGAATCTTTCTGTCAAAGGCAAAAATAATGAACAACTTTACACACGCTAAAATTTGATAGTCACTCTAAGTTGACTATTTCAAGCCGATGGTCGCCTACGGAGCGTTCCTCAATTTGAATCGTATCTTTGATACCAATTCTGGGCAATATAAATAAACCATCCTGTATATTTCGAAGAGAATTTTAAGGATTACAAGACATTGTATAAATATACCGTGATAGATAAAGATCTTTAATTAAAACAAATCTAATTCGCTTATTCTACACCAAAAAACTGTATTGAGAACGTTGTCAGCCTTCAATACCAAAAAATTATGGAACATAAAAGAATTTAACTTCTTACTCTTGACAGTTTAACATTGCAAAATAGCGCTGTTTTGAAAATATCTTTGATGAAGGTACCGCTTAAAACTATTTTTATGTAGAAAGAATTGCCGCTAAAGAGATATTTCCCGAGATATTTTAATTGTTTTTGTAGGGTTCGAAAGCTTTCTTGTCAGGGAAGATAATGAATATTTTCGAATTTCTACTCCGTTAACTAATTATTAACAGACTTTAATATCCTAATGTTAAGCAAAAACGTGTATTAGATCGATCCGAAATTCTAGGTAACAATGGGCATTAATATCGAATTTGGAAATTTTAATCCAGCCATTTAGTTAAGTATAATTAACCGTTACTAATTAAATGAGTTGCAGTTAACATCATCCGATTACGTAATGAGTAGTCTCATTAATCTGGATTCTGAAACATCTCTTAGATTGTTAGGGCATCAGCAGGCCGCAGAAATTTTAATTTTTGGACAGTATAAATCGAATACGCAGAGCGGAAGGAATTTCCGACGCTCCATCTCCGTATTTTGCCAATGCTATTTAAGGTATGAGAGTAATTTAGAGGCGATCTTTTTCCTTTTTGGCAACTTTGTGAGTTTGTTGCTGGTCCAATTTTTTATCCGGTTCAACGTGAAGTTGGTAGGTAGGTACTAGGTAGGCGATTGATAGTTTGTTTTCGTACATTAGAAGGGGAGTTGCTTTCCTCTGTTCTTTTCTTTCCCGTAGCTCTAGTTAATGCTACCGTCGCCACTTAGGGAAACCGCTGTTGTGCCGTGCGCCGTAATTCTGTTTTAGGTATTCACCAGTGACTGACCGCCATTTGGTATAATTGACAGTTGTTTACATTATTTTGTTTTCAATTAAGTTTGATTTTTCGTTAAGTAATGATAGCTTAATTTTAAAGCAATCGATTTTGTGCGGACATCGCAACTGTGATTTGAGGAGGATGTCGGCAAGAGCGGGATAACTGGCGGCTCTTCAAGTAACCGGACTTCTTTACGGATGTGTTAAAGTGCTAATAATGTCTAGAACTATACTATGCGATAGTATGACGCAAATGGTTGTTACAAATTGGTTCATCGAAGCGAATCAAAATATATTATCGCGGATTAAATACGCAAAAACCAACGCACCAACCCATTTAACAAATGATGACTAACTATTGTAACAGCTAAAATTTCAGAAGAATTGGGTGACAAATGAGAAATAGAACTTCGCAAGAATAATAAATTTCATAAGTCTTCTTAAGTTCTTAGTTTTTAGGAAGCAACTTCTCTTAAAACTTCAGAAAATTCCGTCCATTAATAAGAAAATTGAGTCTGCGCATGCGCCATCATTTTTTAACATCTGGTAGAGTAGCTTTGGCTGAAATCCCGCCCACTCAAAATAAAGGCTAAATAAATAAATAGGCAATGAACGGTCACTTCAATTAAATTGGGGTTTAGGTCAAGATGTTGGGCCTCTATGGTCCAGAATGAGCGATAAACCGGTATGAAATTTCGTGGTGTGCCAGGTGAGGCGGCGCAGCCGATCCAAAAAACATTGACTGATTGGTTCCAATCGGTTCAGTCGTTTAGCCGAAAATGAAAGTACAAATGGACCGACAGATTGAAATCATCCATATTTTGTTTGATTCAGTAGGCAGTAGCGCTACAGCCGTAGGGATGGGCGGTCGAACAAAGTGACCCTAATAGCGATTTTTTTAATTTTTCAGCAAATGCGTTAAAAGTACATCTATAATAGGTCAATACTATATCAAAAAAAGTAATGAACAAACACTGGGAGGAAACAAACAAATGAGCGCCTAAATCATACGCATACAAATGAAGTACAATTTGTTTATTTATTAAGTGGAAAGTGATGTAAGCTTTCTAGGGGAATCGATGGTGTCTGTCCCAAATAATATGGATCTAAAATATTTCGTTTGGAAGGTACGTTTTTCGAAGTCCCAAAATCTGCTAGTAACAAAACCAAAAAATTGTGTTTGTCAATATCATCCATTGTTCGATGCCTGCGACGTGGGTTTTCTATCGAACTTTGTGCGTAAAAAAGCTGTATTTACGCGCACAAGTTCATCCCGGAACAACAAAAGTGATTGATTTTGAGCCCTAATGTAGTGTCTCATGGACGAATTGTTCTTTGGAATCCGGGCTAGTGTTTATCTGCTCTGTTTGTTGGTGAACATCTTCATATCATATTAGAAGTAGGCCAAGGGTAGTTTACTTCTGGACCTTTACACATAAATGGTGTGGACACTTGTTTACAATAATCTTCAGGTTGTAAACTGTTATGTGTATGTGTATATATTAAGCAAATGTATGCACAAAAGATAAACACCACCCATCCATATTACACAACTTTTCTTTTCCTTCCATATGGCAGATTTCCTTTTTTAGTTTTTTTTATAATTAATTATTTGTTTATACTATGAACCAATTGGTAAGGTCGAATGAGCCCTTTTTCATGGTGGTTATTTCTGCTTTACCTTCATGTTGAGGTATCTGATCATTAAAACTAAAAAAAAAACGCATTGCCCAACTTAAAATTTATAGCATCTTTAATATACCGTTGCTGTAAAAAGCAAATTCCAATGGGTTTAAATATAACACTATAGCAAAAAAGTTACATAACTTTAACACACGATAATAATCTTCGTTTTCTATTACAACACCCATCTTTCTCTGTCTAATTCGACGTGTTATTTCAAAGTCCACCTAACGTACTTGCGGTTATTTATTCAATGACATTGTACGCTACAATATAATTTGAATTAAATTTAAGAATTATGATGATCTAACAACGTCCCGTTTTTTTCCTCCGCTTCAATGCTCAATTAACGGATGCCAGCTACCTTAATACGTTATGTAATAATATAAACAACATTTTAATGCTTGTTAAAAAATAACAAACCATTGTCATCGACTATTGAAAGCTTTTACAATAATTGTGTTACGTTAGTAATTTGTATTCACAGGTGCGTGGCCCAAAATAGTTGGGTCTATGACATTTCTTTAGATTATTTAAATCAGTCACATTTGCGTACGCGTTTTGACTGAGACTTGGTACTTTCACACGATGGGACAGTAGGCCTGTAGTTCTAAAATATTCCGAACGCACCTCCATGCGCAATCTCTAAATTTGGAGTTAAAAAATTGGCTTTGATTTATATCCACGTCCAACAGAACCGTTTGAGTCCAGTTTTTTTTAAAAACTGTAATACGGCCTCCGTAAATGGGTAGAGGAACGCGTGTGATTTACGGTGCACATAAATTGTGTGCTTGAACCAATGTTGTATGGGCAATTCCATTCTTCGAAACCAAACAAAGGGCATTAGGGTAATGTAGACGTTTACAAGTGGGCAGTAAACGTAAAAAAGGAATTATGTAATGCGGTAACTAATAAATCGTATAATAGCGCAACAAGTTAATGGCAAGGTTAGAAAAATGAGAACCGTTCCAGCGCGGCAGATACTAAAAAATTAATAATTACATCTCCAAGCTAGTTTTATAACGTTTAATGCGCCAGTGCAATCTAACTGGTTTATACAGTTCATCTGTGATACTTTCCATTTATTACAAATTTTTTGGGATTATACAATTTGGATGGCGAGCCGCATCCTTCGCACTTTCTCTATGATTTGCATTGTATTCAAGAAGCATTTCGTTACGATACGAAAATCGACAAAAAAATTCCATATCGGTATAAATGGGTACAAAGATCTTTGTAAGGTGGGTTGGACAACTTTCAATCCTTCTGTACTGTACGTGTGGGATGTTCTACGTAATACGGGGAGAGGTTAAAGATCAAGGTTTCTGACATATGGCGATTTTTTTTCGTCACACCGCCAGTCTAGGAAACAAAAGGTATATGCAAATTTAAACGGCTTTTAACTGTGGGATTCTGACATTTATCTTCCCCAACACGATGATTTCATGTCGGCTGCCAAAAGCTTGACCATCCAAAATCCGCGTCTTTTATTTAATCGCGTTGTAATTGTGCACTAAAGACCAGTTTTTGGGCCATAAAAAATTTGAAATTATCACTAACCGGCAAATGTCACTAGGCAATGAATATGCTAAAAGACCGGTACCGAAACTGCCAAAGAACAGCCAAATTGAACATCTGACTTGCCTTAATTTTCGAAGGCCGTTACCGCAAAAATAGATGATGCATATAACGACAAATAATGACCGTACGACGTTCATGACACGTTAAAGTGTATTTTGACCCTAATTATATAAACAAGTTCTCTGTCTAGATGTAAAAATTACATACTTTCATTTTCATTTTGAAATACATAACACGTATACATAAAATAGGTAGCGCTAAAAAATATTAATACAAAACTAGAAGTGACCCAGTTCGGTATACTTTCAAACAATAGTTCTCTCGTTAGTTGTAGAGAGATATTGAGCAATACTTTATTAATATCATAAAATAAGATTTCTAATTACTCACCGTTGATGTATGCAGCCATAACCAAACGACAAGCGGTAGAATGATTTTCATTTTTGCTGTAACAGAAAAAAGGCATAGGTATATAAATTGCCTAAGACAATCGTAAAGGGGCACGCCACTGATTTCAACTCCAGACTAATAAAATCAGAGTCGTGCACGTTCCGACAAAAATCATGCATGAATTTTAAATTTCCTTCGAGCCGTATTTATTATGAACATGAAGCTGCAGGATTGTAGGTATATTATGAAGTTTTGCACGTTTCTTGTGTTCGTGTGTAATCTTCCAGTTCAATTGAAGAAAAAACTCTGTAGCGAACGCTGAACGATTGAAAAAATTTTAGGCTAACTGTTGGATGCTGTAAGTGTAGGTCAAGAATGTTGGGCATTAAAACCGGCGACTTAAATTAATTTAATAAATAATTGAAAGGGCAGTTGATTTCCTTGACTTCTGCCATTATAATAACACGGCTCAAACCAGACATGTATTGTTTTTGATAAGAAGGTTGTGAAAGCACGCTTACGAATGTGTACCTTTCGGTATCTAATGAGTACAAGAGAAAGTATGGTGTGGTGAATAAAGAAACCAGCTTTGCTTATTCAACATTGGGTAGGTAACCATGTAAATTAGTTTTTTTAATGGAAATGGTTTTCGATAACTTATGCGACAAGGAATGTTAGTCTCGAATGAAACTGTCAAGGATCTTAATGCCACCAGTTATGTACCTATAAGTAGGTAGCAACTGTGGAAATTTCTCAAATAATTAATTAGTTTACTTATAGTTTATAGAATCGAGTTCGTGAAGTTACGACTAATTTTGCATTAACAAAGTTGATATTGCCTAATTAATATGAAGTAATTTAGATCTATGTCTAGATCACCTCCTGCGACAAAGTTTAATCGCAGACGTCGGTTTGTGAATTTTATTTGAAGAAATTGGTTTGTATTTGGTTCATTTTGTACACCATTCAGTACCCTAACTAAAACTCCCCATTAAAAAAGGATCGAAAAATACCGGACGATCTGTTGGATTTCATCAATATTTAAATAGATGAAAAAAATGGCCTGACAAGTGCCCTTCAGAAGAACCTGGTTCACAAGAGGTTGAGACAGGATATAAATTGGTAAATTAAATTCCTCGGTAAAATGATTTTAGATCCGATAAACATAATCATTAATATACGAGGGCTGTGTAAAAATTAAGGTTCCCAACGCTGAAACGTTGCCGCATGAGGTTCTAGGCGAAATTCCGCAACACCGCCGTGTTAGCTAGTTCCCCCAGGCTAGTCACCAGATTCCGCTCTCAGTACCGCCCGTCCGGAACCCCCCAGCAAGGTTTTCTGGACTCTTCCACACTATTAAAGGGACGCGACACCAATAACGATTATGCGAAGATATCACGCTGCTTGTTTTGGGATTAGTGTTTGATAAGTAGCTACATAGTAAATCAACAGACCTTTCATTTTCTCTTTTACAGTACTTTCATGTGACAGCCCGTTTTCGAGATGTTCGCATTTGACGTTTTGACCCCACCGACCGATACTTTTCGTTCAGACCTTCCATTTTTCCCTTTGAGAGTACATATCGTTTCAGAGATATACGGATTTGAAGATTTGAACACATCGACGGATACATCTCATGAACTCATGAACATTGTTGATCTTGACCTTTGTCTGAGCTTTTGAGTGCAAGACAGAGAAAATAACAATTAAGACATTTTTCCATAATTGTAACCACGGACGGTGAGACAGACGGCCGGAGAAGACCGATATGACAAAATTATGAGGATATCTAATGCATATAAGAGAGATAAGCTATAGTGGATTCAGTAGTGACAAATGGATGTGGATTATAAAAGAGGAAGATAAAAGACGTTCATAGCGCCATAGCGGCCGAAATAGATTATTTTAGAAGAAGTAACCGGACATCTAGCATGGAAAGGAAAGAAAACAAAGATATTAGAAGTAGGTCTGCCACAGAAACAATAGTAGATTGGATACAGAAATGGAGTCTACTATATGGTTTGGTTATTTATTAAGGATGGAGGAAACACGATTACCAAAGAAGGTACAGAAATCAGCAGGAGAAATGACGCACTCCACTATTCATATTCAATATGGCAATGACCGGAAAGGAACCGATTATCACCACTGAAAGAAAATCGAATCACAACAATCACTGAAAACATTCCAGAATCGCCTATAGAAAACCAAAATTAAATTCCGGAAAATTAGTTGGTAAGTATGGGGGAGTAATAAAATTCACTTTCAAGATCGGCCAAGCTTGTCAGGGTTGCTGAGGATAGAGTAATTTCGGTTTCCTCTACCACTAAATTTTTATGGGACATTCTTAATTGTTATCCCCTGTTTATGTGTCAAAAACCCTGGAACATCTTTATCACCAGGGCCGGATTTACGTACGAGCAGAACAAGCACGTGCTTGTGGCGGCCAAGGGGACGCCCAGCCTAGTTAAAATGTCGCGTAGAGAAGGTTGTAAAATGGTTTAGAATATGTTACTCTAACGTTTACGTTTTGTTTTGTTTTAAGGTAGAGGTAGGAGCCCCATCGCTACCTCGTACTTGGAGGCCCGGCAAGCTGTAAATCCGGTCCTGTTTATCAACACTATATTGTGGAACAACTTCCCAAAAATGAATCAGTTTTTTTTGTAAGGTTTTAAACTAATCCTTAAAAGTCTCTGGGGTCAAAGATTTTGTTCCAAAGTAACTAAAATGTTTGTACATTTTTTCAACGAAATTGATCCCTACCTATGATCACAGATATACACAAACAACAGTTTGCTAACCTGATGCATTTCATTGGTAACACATTTAGGTTACAGGGACCCTATGCAAGACAGTGGCGACAATTGAGCTTAAACATCGGCCACCCGCCATGTTGTGGCAAATTCAAACAGAATTTATCACGATATCTAGATTAAACATACGAATTCAAAGCAATTAACACTGGAATACTTTAATAATTGAAGATACGGAAGATACATTGAAGATATTTCAAGTTTACCACATAATGGCTACCGCGTACTGGATGATTCAGCAACCAATCAGACATGAATCTTGTATACAGTCGCTGTAATTTAGGTTACAGTGACTTTGTAAAGACAGTGCGATCATATTGTCGGCCATATTTTTTTCCAATTTATCATTGACCTGATTGGTTTAACCGAATTATTAGATTTTACTGTGGTTACAATAATTCTATCACAATTGTGTCCGGCAAGATTAATTTGTACCAATCCGGTGTATTTGGACAAAACATGGCGGATCTCCCAACTATCAACAGAAAATAACACTACCGACTTTCAAAGTACTCCTAGGGTCTGTTTCGTTTGAGGACTCCCTACACCTTCAAAATTAATAATAAAGTTGCTTTAATTTTCTTCAGATGATGGTAAATCAGATAAAAGTTGCGGAACTGAACATACAGAAAATTTCGATTACTTCCGAAGGTATGCCAGAAAAATCGAAATTTGCTGATTTTGTTTATATTTTTTCCTGGTGTAATAGTTACAGAAAAATAAAGACACTTCCTCATTGCCACTTTTTCAATTCTACAATATAACGGTTCGGTTCGGAGAAATAATCATCACTGAGAATATAACAATGTACGGCACACAAAAAATAAAAGTTGGAAACTGTTGGTTTCATTGTTTCAACAGGATGGTGCACCCGCGCACAACGCCTGAATCGTCTCAGTACCTATCGGATAAGTTCCCTGTACAATTTATCCGATAGTTATTTTCCCACGACTTTCCCCTAATTAGCCATCGTCGTATTTTCTTATGGTTTCCCAGATCCCCATAATAAACATTCTTACCTTGAACACAGTGCGAGGAAAATGTAATGGTAATATTTTGATCATGTGACAACTACTAAGATTCATAGTGGGTATGTGTAAAATGAGATAGGTTGGGAGGTAGAAAACTCATATGCGGTGTAAAGTATAGCACTTTTAGAAGTTTCGGCTGCTCCCACAACATTTAAATTATCTTCTTTCCATTCATCCACCGACTCGCTGTTCACTGAAGTGGATTAAACTTCAATCAATCGAGCTGTTTTATTATTAGGTAAATTTCGACACGGACTATGGGATGGTGTTATACAACGAAAACTCAATAAAAAGTTCCTCTACCAGTTTTTGATCAGACCGGCACTTTTTTTTTCGACGTGCTGAAGCTTGTTTACTAGCAGACGGCGGACATTTTGAACTACTGTTGTAATGATGTACTCGCCATAATTATAGTTTATTTTGAACCTTCTTTTGTTTTTAAAAATGTGTTATTATTAAGTTTAACCAGTGGTGCAGCGTAGGGGGCGCGGAGATTTTTAAAACCGCGGTAGCTCGAAAAATAGCGGTCTGATGGAAAACTGGTAGAGGAACTTTTTGTTCAGATTTTGTCGTATAACACCATCCCATAGTCCGTGTGCGCGAATTTCGAAACACCCTGTATGCATTTCCGTCTGTCATGATGCTTTGAAGCTCATCAACTTGTTCGATGGGGCTGAATTTAATACTTATTCTACCCTCTATTGTTTGTTCGAAATTAATATCTTTATTTTGAATGCTTCTTTCCTGACCTATCACTGATGACTGTGGTGTCGGTTCCTATCTCACACGTCAACATTCATCACATACTTCGACCCGGAAAATTTACCATAATCACAATTATGAAATTAGCAAGAATGGTTAAAGGGTACCTTAATTAGGTATATTCAATAAAAAATAATGCGAAGTAGCCCAAACTTACCATAATCTTAATGATTAGTTTTAAGTTGATAAGAATTTGTGTAAATGATTTTGTTGTGTTCCTATGTGAATAAACATTACAAACTGTTGGTGTAAAACCATACATAAGTTTGTAATTATTCTACCTATAATATAGTATCTAGTAAGTAGGGTACTATGCTAATCGGTGGTCGATACGAAAAAGGAAGTCCATACAAAAGCGCCGGGTATTGCGCATGGAAGATGAAACAAGCAACCCTTCCCTATTCCGATGTAAAAGGAGGTTGTGATGCGGAAAAGGCAAAGTGGTGAGAG